TTCACCGACGTTTATGACGGGTGGTTCTATCACCAACTGTTATGGTATGGCCGAGTTGCATGGATCCCACAAGTACGCAGCGAGATGATTAGTATTCTTCTCTTCAGAAAAGCGCCGTCTTCGGAAGTACACTGCGAGAGACGCACTGGCAACTCTTATTCAGCATGACGCATGACGCCAATGAGTGTAGTGTCAGCGAAACCGCCAATTCTGTTATAACTAGCCAGTCTCCTTCCAGCAGACAGCACTCGAGAATCTGGCGAGACTCACATCTGCTGCAGGACCAGGCACCGGACGCGGTGATCAGCGTCCGGTGTGGTGGTCTTCGATGGCGTTCTCCCCTACCCCACCAAGCTTTGTGCTTATCAATCAGACAAGGAAGCGCATGCTGAGCCTGCCGTCTGCTGCGCCCTTCTCTGACGCCGTGCTTCTGCGAGAACAGTCACACTCTCGGCCCCAACCTATCACTGACGCTGATCATCCGTTCACCTGTTGTCGGCCGCTTTTTGACAGGCTTAACGGCGTTGCTCCGAAAAGTCGCCCGAACCAACCAGCTAGGGTACCCAGGTGCCGCATTGGATCTGGCTTCCAGGCTGTGAGGCTGCGAATTGACTTCTTGCACCATTGCTCCTTCACCATCTGACCACCTTTCGCTCAAACTGCCCATTTCTTGACAAAAGACTTCGCATATCCCTCTGCGACCGTCGTCAAGTGCGCTACACTCACAGAGCGCTCTGGCCTCTGCACAAACCCTCCATACCCGCGAAACCTTCGTCCGCTTACTGACCCGCCTCCGCCCGCTGGAAGAGCTACCCAAATCAACCCCAAACATCTTGCGTCATCCATACCACCTCTCAGAATCCCAACGCGCCCGCTCCTCCACATTTTGCGGTGTCCGGGTGGCGAAAACGGTTATCGCACGTGGTTGACCGATAGCCAGCCCCTCCGAACTTCCGCTACGCTGCGCAGCTGCGTCAAGCAACCCGCAAGCTCTCCTCGAGCTACACACAACACCAACTACCCTCTACCTCGCGATTGTAGTTGCAATGGCTGGAACTACCAACGATTTCCAGAATGGCGCGCCCTTCTACCTGGATGCGACGCAGCAGGATCTCCTCCTCGCGGCCCTTGCCTCGAACAACCAGAACCCTAACGACCTCTTTTCCGCCAGTCTTGACAGCGGCTCCAACAACAAGCAGTCTATGAACAACTCCCAATTTCAGTATCCTCTCGACAGCCTCGATCCCGCATACTTCACGTCGCCTCAACAACAGACTCCCGCGAACGGCTTCAACGCAGGAAGTATGGAAGAGAGTCCCTTTGTCGACTACCTAGATGGCGACAATGGCTTCGATTTCGACAACGCAGACGGCGACATGATTGGCTCACTACCTGGGGATACTCCCGGCGATTCGAGCGAAAAGCGGAAGAGTCCGGACGATGGTGACGATGACGATGACGAGGGCGGCGGCAAGCGCAGGGAAGGTGAAGACAAGCAAGCCAAGAAGCCAGGTCGCAAACCATTGACTTCGGAGCCCACGACTGTAGGTTTCATGGAGCATGCTCACGTTAGCCCAACTGACAGCAGGAATAGAAGCGGAAAGCCCAGAATCGCGCGGCCCAACGAGCTTTCCGAGAACGCAAAGAAAAGCACCTGAAGGATCTCGAGACCAAAGTACAGGAGCTTGAGAAGGCTTCCGACGCCACGAACCACGAGAACGGTCTCTTGCGAGCACAAGTGCAACGGCTGCAAACGGAACTTCGCGAATACCGGAAGCGACTATCGCTCAACAGCACCGGAGTGTCTCGAACTCCCGCTCTTGCTGGGGGCTTTAGCTCTATGCTGAACAGCAATAGCAACAACAATAACTTCTCCTTCGAGTTTCCGCGATTTGGCGGACTTCCTGGCGCTCAGCTACTCGACAACGGTCCTTTAGCGAAGAACAAGAACACTTCGGTTTCGTCGAATGCGTCGGGTCGGCAAAACAGTACTGGACGCGCCCTCAGCCCAACCAGCAGGGCCAACGGTTCGCTCACAGATTCCCCTGGCGCCATGGGCCTAGGTAGTGCGCAGCGTTCCGGCAGTCTCAACGGCTTTTTCGGACTCGACAACAACAATAACAACAAAACGAACAACGAACCCTCCCGTAGTAACACAGAGAACTCCACTCGTTCGCAATCGCGTGTCTTCCAGTTCAACAGTGGCTCGTCAAGCCATTCAGACTCACCATCCAACTCGTCCACATCGCCTACCAACCAAGACTCCTCCTGCGGGACATCACCAGAGCCAAGTCACACCTCGCCCAATCAGCAGTTGGACACAATTAAGGACGGTTATGTGTGTCATGGAAACTCCGAAGGTGAGGTTCTCTTCTGCGAAAAGCTCAACATGGCCTGCGGCAACCCTCGTAATCCCATGCCTCGTGCGATGTCCCAATCTGACGACAAACCTTCTCCTGCAGTCTTAGCCGCCAAATCACCCACCCCCGCCGTCAACGGCATCGATTACTTTGCGAACCAAAACGGCGGCCAATTCGACCCGACACTCTTTGGAGAGTACCGCGATACCCAGAATGCGATCGTGGGCGACGGCGACTTCACTGGCGGCTTCTTCAACGATGCTTTTCTCAACACTGGCTACGGTAGCCCCTTCCACTTCGGCGACACACCTGCTGTGCAGAAGACGAATCCTCTTGAAGAAATTGAGCGCATACAAGATGGTGAGGACGAGGTAGTCCCCGGCGAGGATGTCAACTCGCTGCTTAACTGCCACAAGATATGGTCAGTACAACCCTGTGATCACATGAGAACTGGTACGCTAACACCGCACAGGGACAAGCTCTCAAGTCGCCCAGACTTCAAGGACGGCACGATCGACATCGACAATCTCTGCTCAGAGCTCCGCGCCAAGGCTCGCTGTTCAGAAAGCGGTGTGGTCGTTGATCACAAAGACGTTGAGGCAGCCCTCAAGCGTCTACCCAAGGACAAACTTCTCGGATAAATATGGCGCACACCTGCATGGGATGACGGTTAAGGCGTACATGCTTGGCTTCTTTTCGGTCCATTTATTTCTCATGTTGGCACGGCCAGTCACTCGTTGAGCATGCACTTAGCAACCTTGCAACGATATCATGATACTTGGAAGGGTGGGCATATCGGCGTTCGAAATGGCGAAACGACGAAAAAGGTTAACGGCTGTGGAATACACTGTTCGTGTGCGAGTCGTGCGGCCGGTCATTGGATGGTGGTACGGTCACAACCCCAGCTTCCTTTATAGCCTTGTATTCAATGAAGTACTTTATTACGCTACTGCCTACATATGACAGCAGTCTAGCCCACGTATTCCTTCTACTGTACAGCCCATCTCAGCATTGCGCAAGTGGTCTCACCCCTCTAAGTCTCCTACTTCTCCTTGGCATTCTCGCCTCCAGAATCTCTGCTATAGCCACTTGACGACCTTCCCGCGCATACTCTGCAGCCGTCGAACCAAATGTCACAATGTTTGGATCCGCCCCTGCCTCCAACAAGACTTTCACCGCTTCGATGTTCCTGAAATAGATCGCTTGGCTAAGAAGAGTGTCTCTCTTGAGAGCCACCCCTCGATCGTTTACATCGACACCTCTGGTGATGAGGAATCTCAGGGCTGACATGTCTGTCTTTTGCCCTTTGGTCGCGTGGTAGATGGCGGTAGGATCTAGCGTTGCACCGTGGTCGAGCAGTATTTCCATGGCACCGACCAAGCCACGGGCAGCAGCTCCTGATAATGGGGTTACGCGGTCGGCGCAGGAACCTACTAGTCGCGGGTTGGATGTCATGTTTGGGTTTGCGCCGTGGGTGAGGAGCCAGTGGAGGGTAGTCTCGTACTGAATAGCCCATCTGCGTGCTTCTTAGCATTGGTTTGCGGCTTCCCGAGTGCTCGGGCTGAATGATGTTTTCGATTTCTTGCATAAAGTTCTTGGTTGCCTCACAGTGTGTACTTGAGACAATATTTCAGCACCTGACATCGATGGAAGGGATATAACAATGCCACACCAAGGGGTTTTCTAGGCGACATCGAGTGAAGTCGTCATGAACTCTGACCAACCACCAGAACGGAAAAGTACACTCACCCAACGATACTCGTTCCGTACCATAGTCCACCCAACGTCCATCCTCTCTCCAGCAGCAGATCTAGTAATTCTGTCTCACTATCTCCCCTCGCAAGCGCATCTCTAAAGGACTGCTGGTTCAGATATGCCCCGTACCCGATCAGCGTGTCAATGACTTCCAGTGAAGCCTCTGGCATGGCTACTTGGAGACAGTATACTTTATCTTCTCCTGTGATGGCTCGCGTTTCTTTCTTAGGACGGCCGCGCTTGGAGAATTTGGCGTGGAGGCCGGATACATCGTTAGAGCGGATTAAAGACACGAGCTCGAGGGATAGAGGGTCTGAAGAAGAATATGATTGCATGATGGGTTGATTCCAAGAGAGAACGAGTAAAGACGTTCACGCGGCAGTCTTACATAGGTTCAGTGAGGCGGGAAGCTGATCACGAGAAGAGTCTGCCAAGATGGCAGCCTAGTGGAAGCAGGACGGGTATGCAGGTGTACGGCGTGGTCGAGCTGATTCTGACTCACAGTTCGAGCCCGACCGGCAGTTATCACGTTATATGACAGGAGTTGAGATGCTCAGGCGGCTCATAAAATGGTTATGAATTTGCTAAGACGTTTCTTTCATGTCTGTAGGAGCGGGAAGGTGTATGTTGTTCCAACGATGAGGTAGCAAAACCAATTGTTGAAAAGGGGAAAGAAATCAAGAAAAGGTTTGTATAACACTGCGTTGAGTGCGTAGGGATAAAGCCGGGGGGAAATGAGGGTGAGGCTCGTCCGCCTGTTGTCTGTCCGTTGAGATTTTGGCCGTCGTTCCAACTGAGTCTTCCAAAGGTGACGTCCGGAACGTTCGTGATATCTAGAGGAGCGGTGATGTCGATTTGGAGTGTACGGCATGTCGCTACATCCTTTTATGTCCATGCATCATTGTGAAGCTCTTCGTCTTCGCTCCACATCATAGCCCGGTGCTCTGTAAGTATCGCGCCAGCTGCGTTGGGGTCTACTCCGGCTTTGGGGTGCTTGGCGTCATATTTGAAAAGCAACCTTCCACGCACAGTCGTCTTGAGTTGGTTCTTCTCGCGTTTCTTCACCGGAACATAGATTCTCTCCGTCCATCGTTTTGAGTCGTTTTTAATGGTGGGGAAATACTTGAACACTTCTTCCTTCATCTGATCCCAATATACACGGTAATCGCCGTCTTCTTTCGCGTTTTTGTTGGGACGAATGAGGTATGCTCTTACATCAGGATCATCCATGTCAGGAGCTGCTCTTCTCAGAGAGTCTTGTTGCTTGGTGGGCCCAACTCCTTTCCCATCTCTCATGCCTTTGATGACGGTTTCGAAAAAGATTTTGTTCTGGTCCTCCTTGTGTTTCTCCCAAAGGGAATTATCCTTGTCGGTATAGAAGGATATACTCTCCCAGAAATGTCCTATGTATACACCCTTACGACTGACAACAATCAGCATCGTACAGCCTACCAAGTGTGTAGTACCGAGGCTCAGTTCTGTGTCCTGGCTGTGCTTGTATTGCTCAAAGACCGAAGTGTTTGTATCGTACTCTTTCTTTCGACCGTCTCGCGTTGTCTGCGGCCAGACTACAGGTACTGCTTCTTTCGTCTGTTTCAAGATGTAAGGCTTGATATTCCCGGGGGCAGGAAGTTCCATCCGTTGATGAATGGTAGCATTGTCGGCTAATGCACGAAGATCGAGGCTTCTCTTCGCATCGTTCGGGTCGTAACTTGGAGCACTGCATACATCGCGTTCATCGCGACGAACTAGATCGCGGTTGAAGAGCGAGAACTTGTTGGCATGCGTGTCTGACTTGGTGCCCTCTCCATTGAGCCTGTCACTGAGATAGGATGCATGTCCTGTTTACTCGTTAGCAAGGCATAGCGGACGTAGATATCTTTCGATGACATACGAAGGATCAGACTTGAAGAAGAAAGCCAGATCAAGAAGACCGTGAACAGTACCCCGTACTTCATGATCTTGAGCACTGCGTGAGAGGTATAATAGTGTATCTGAAGACTTTGGAACGGAAAGGTCGACTTGCACGAAGACTCATTGATGGTTCTGATGCGATGGTTTATATTCGACTTTGGATGGCATCTCAACTAAGTACCAAAGCATTGCTATCTGGTCCAAGACTACCTAGGTACGTATGACGCTGGCGCTGGGATCAACTGAGGATGTGGTCTGGACGTGTGCCTCATCGAGGCAGAGTAAGCGCCTGTCGTCTGAAACATCGTGCTACAACTGTGCCAGATCCTACGGTCCTAAGTTAAGTTCCAGGACGATCACGCGTGCATTAGTGCTTGGGGTCTGGGTTGAAGAGAGCTGATTGTACATCCGTGTCTTAGCGCGAACTCCCAAGCCTTGGCGTGACGCAATTTAGCCCCATGGAAAGGTGTCACAGCGTTGCCGTGCCGCAAACACTTTACATACACCACCCGCACCTCACTACAATGGCGCATCACTCCAACTCCCCAAATTGTTTTCGCCCGCGACATGGATAACCCACCTGCGGCCGTACAGGACGCCATCAGTTCTAACGATGTCGAGGTTGTTCGAGCGTGGTTGAAGAGACACCCTCCACCCAGCTACAACGCGTTACAAGAGTGTCTACTATTAGCCATGCCCAATGGCTCCCTAGAGATGATCGATACGATGCTTAAACATGGAGCCACGGTCTCGTTTCTAGCCTTTCTCGAAGCTTTTGAGAGGGAAGAAACTGCCGTGTTTCAGAAACTCATCGACTACGGCTGGGATATTGATTCTACGGAGTTCGAACTACCCGCTGTGCAGTAAGTTGTCATGCATGGCCCCATTCTGAACCAAGCTAATCAAGTTCAGGCTCGTTCTGGACAACGAACGTTTACTGCGTTGGTTTTTGGACCGCGGCGCCAATCCAAACACCAAATCTGTGAGGCGAGGCGCATCCTGTCTGCAGCCTTGCACACCACTCGCCGCCGCAGCGGAGTTTGATGATACGACTGCACTCCAAATCCTTCTGTCTTACGGGGCTGAGATGGATCCTTTGGCCCTGTTCCACGCCATTGGAGTTAGGGGCCAAGCAAACGGTATTGCTACAACCGCCATGTTGGTTGAACGCGGCGCCGATGTCAATCATGTGGCCGAAAACTGGGGTACACCACTCGATTATGCTGTCAAATACAATGCCAAAGAGAAACTGTTGCTCTTGTTGGAACACGGCGCAGATCCTACTGCACGTTCTGTCGTAAGCCGGCAGACACCGACAGAATACGCAAAATCGTGTAAACATCTGGAGCTGTACGACATCCTGAAGGCCGCTGAAACTAGTTGAACTCAGCGGCATTCTTGATAAGACACTAGAGTCGATGCCGAAGCAGAGTCTACAACGCAGTAGTAGTAACGCAGTAATTTATATAGTAAGGGCTATACTTAGCCTATATAATATAGTAAATAAGTAGTAGTTCTTTATAATATAAATATAATATACTTTTTTAAAATATTTTATAGTAACGTTAACTATAGATAGTAACTTATAGTAGAATTATAGTAATACTATAATCTAGTAATACTTTAGTACTATAAATCTAAACTTATAATAATTACTTTATTACGTGTATAAAGTAAAATCTAGATTCTTATACTTTCTCTTTTTTTATAATATTATATTTTTCTTCTACTTTTACTTCTAAGCTATTTTTTATTATAGCTAATATAATTAATATAGTAAAGATAAAGCTAGCTAGTATACTAGTATACGTAAAATAGTAGCCTATTTATTTTATAGCGTATATATATTAAAGTTTTTTTTTAGTTTACTAGTTTAATTAGTTATTTCTTAATTATCTTAAGCTTACTAGTACTTACTACTTTTATATTTATAAAGCTATTAAGAACTTATAAATTAATTTTATAAGCTATAAAGAGCTCTTTATACTTTTTTTTATAAATATAAACTTTTAGCTAAAGAAGCTACTAGTATAATAGTAGATGCGCTTTATTATAAGATAGTAGGTATTAATACAGCCTAGTATAATATACTAAAAGACTAGTAGCTTACTATAAAGTAACTTTATAATAACTTTAAAGCTAGCTTTAAGCTTAACTAGAATTAATATAGCTTTTTAAATACTTACTATTACTTATTATATAATAACTAAAAGTAGTAGCTTTTTAAAGTTATTAAGCTTATATATAGTAAGTTATAAGTACTTAAAAAGCTATAGTAGTAGTAGAGGTAATTAGAATACTAATAAAAAGATAATAAATTAAAATAGTAGTTATATAAAAAATTAGTAACTTAATAAGCTTATAAAGTTACTATAGTAGGTATTATTATTAAAAGTATATTTAAAAAAGTTAAGTTTATATAATAATAGTAATAACGTAAGCTATTAGAAACACAGTTAATCTCTATTCTCTAGGGGAACTTAGCGGCATATTAACGAGTCTGGGGGCGCAGATCTATATCATTCGCACTGATTGCTTTAGTTTATTGTCTAAGATGGCGATGATTGCGATAATTCAATTCCTTCGTCTCGATTAAGGAAGAACTTGCACGCATTGCGGTCTGTTTGCCTACTGAACGATAAGTGCATGTGTGGAATCAAGCCATATGTCCTTACTATGCCACTGTCTCAAACGTGTCCTTTGATCAACATCGTTTTCAAATTCGGCTCAGTTGATGGGTGCAGGGTTGAGCGGCGTAGTCAACCACCGCAGGCGGCGTGCGACACTCGCTCCAGAGGAGACCGGGAATCCGACGTATTGTGTCCATGCAATCGTCATTATGCTGTCGAGATCTTCAGTTGCTGGCATGTCTCAGCCCCCCTCCCAACTCGAACCGATGCCTTCTTGACGCCGGTACGGCGCACAAGAAGACGCGTTATCAGACGCAGGAGGAGGCACAGATTGACTGGGTATACGGGTAAACGGAGGGCCGAAATTCAAAATAGCCCTCGGATCGCTTGATGCATACGTTGCGAGTGTTCATTGAGATGTCATAGTGTTTGGCTTTCTCCAGTGTATATGAACCACCATGCTGGCAGTATGCGACAAGAAAGACACCACCGAATTCCCAGGAGCACTCAGCTACACCTTTCACCTCATCACATATCCATTTCTCAACTTGTATCATGGTTCGCCTCATCGTTTTGATCAGCTTTGGAGTACTGTCGTCAGTCTCAATGGCTGAGATCTTCACGCTCAGTTTGGGTGACACCAACCAATACTCAGCGACCCTGGTATGAAGCAATATCGACTGACGGACATGAGAGCCCTTCCGCTGACAATATTAGACTGCCACGCCAACTCTTACTGGATCACGCATTGTCTTTACCGACTCACCCAGCCCCAACGACGGGGTCGATGTCATACTTTCAGATGAACTGCGCGGGAAAGTCGAAAGCGCTCTGGACAGCGCCTGCGTCGACCTTGATGATGTATGCTTTGAGAGTATCAAAGACATTCTCGTCAGCCCGAATACCGAATTGGAAACACGTCAAGTAGAAGAGCTGCTGTATGGAGTAGGAGCAGCGGTTGCAGTCTTCTTTGCTTATATCATACCGGTGACCTCCAACTCATCGAAAGGTGTACCCGTAGCTCTTCACGCCCCTGCTCATCAACTGGGACCAGCAGCTTCCGCAGCGCAAGCATCCACGGTTGCTATAGCCACTGCATCTGACGCGCCAATCATTACAATCACGCGGAAACCCGATGCAACTGTAACCACAGCGTAAGCATGTAATTCCTCTCTTCACTTCGTTGAACTAAACGTGCGCAGCACCGATGCACCCCATCAGACGATGTTCACCAATTCGGCAAACAACGGTTCCCCTGGCGACATTGAAATCTACATCCCGGAGGCTCTTGGAAAGCGAATGACAGAATTGATCGACAGAAGTCAGCAGTGTACGATTGATGACAAATTCTCATCATCACGAAGAGCTCGTAGTCTGGACTTCAGTGAGCAGCTCACCGGAGTGATTTGCTCCACTAAGCAAGTACTCCTCAATGCCTCGCCAGGTGCCGCGTTCGAAGCTCTTGACTCATTGGGAGCGATGACGACCGAGATTCCTACCTGGATTCAGCCAGATGTACAAGAAGCAATGGAGGTTGTAATGAATATGGCGAAAGAGATGTCCGACCAGATCATGCTGTACGCGCACGAAGCGACGCTTATAGCACTCTTCGTCTTCATGGTGAATTACCAACGGTCAGTTACTGGAAGCCCCATATCTCCGTCCATCCGCATCCCCGGTAGTGAGCTCAAGGAGATGGTGAAAGTTTCACTGACGCCCTCGATCACGTCATTCACCCCGACTTCGTCGATAACCTCTACTGTCAGTAGCTCGAGCTCATCCAGCACACAGGAATGCTCGGCATTTTGCAGCATGATTGGTCAGATCAAGAGATGCACAACACAATGTCCGAAAATGACCGATTTGCCGACTGCCACACCAACTGAATACGCTGTGAGAACGATGACAGTGGAGCCATGGATCGTTCCGTACCAGCCGCAGATCCCCATCAAAGATGTATTCAGCTTCTGTATGCCCAACGAGGACACCAAGTTCCCGGTTTCGGAGTTCAACGTCACTTACGCCGACTTCTGTGAGAAGGCCGACGGCTCAACCGAAGACGTCACCTGGATGGTCAATGCGAAAGGAGAACAATCGCAGCTGAATCGTCGGCGCTTCTGGAGACGAGACGCCTCGGACGATTTCAGCGACTACAAATTCGCCTTGTGGTGGAGACCCAAGACTGGAGACAACGCCACCGACTGTGAATTCTCATGTGAAGAAGCCTTCCAAGGACTGACTGAGAGAGATTCGTGTTCAGTAGGCGATGGCAAGAAGTTCTTGGCGGGAAGCGGAGGTATCGACATCGGCTGTGGTACATACTCCTTCACCGCGCATCATCAGATCGACTCCACAGTCAAGTGCCTGAACCACCCACTCGACGCACCAAAGAATGACAAGACTGCCTCCGGCGGAGTAAGCGTCGAGTCAGCCATCCAAACCTGGTGCACCGACAACGACGGCCACCAATTCAGTTCCAACTCTAAATCCGACAACGTATACTGGCGCTGGGGCATCACCCAACTCGACGTACCCGACCGGCGCTCATTCTGGCTGCGCGCAAAGCCAAACGGCAACAACCAACAAGCTTCCTTCGTGAAAGACGAATGCATCGCCGCACTCAGTAACGGCCTGAGCACATGCGACCCCGACTCCGACAACACCCACGGCTTCACGGCTACCGTCGACACCATCGACTACAGCCTCGACCTCAGCGGAGTCACGCAGCTCGACAACCCTCCCTGGAACGAACACCCAGCTTTCCCCGCCCCAGAATCTTTGACCGCCAAGGACAGCAACAAACCCCATACAACTAAATGTTGGGATCCGAAAATATACGGTTACGGCCGTAACGTCGCCCCAGATGACATCGAAAAGGCGATCAGCGCATGGTGTAAAGATGGCACCAAGATCGAGGGATTCGGCAATAATGCCAAGGGGTTCATGTATCCGCCAGAAGGCGAGACGCCTTTCTACCCGAACGATCATACGCCCATGCATGTGCGTATGGATGTAGCGACGGTGGAGACAGGGGAGAAGGAACCATATGGGGACATGAAGTGGTGCGAGTAAGTCTTCGTCTGTATCTTGATGTGTGTTTTGACGATGCTAATCGTTGTGGCAGAGGCTACAACTGGAAATTGATCGAAGATGATTGCCGGTACGCGGTTCGCAAATTGATCAAAGAGTGCAATACCACCAAAAACAAGTTCAACGCTGGGAGATACACGTATCGGTGCGTCACTTATTCGGTGACTGATACCAATGATCCAAGGTGAGGGTTGAACTCCAGTGGCTCTCAGCACGTTTCGGGTTATGGTGCAGAGGGTTTTGGGTTGGTAGTTGGCGGGTCTTAGAGTTTTGTACCCGCAAGCAATGAGCTTGGAGTGGCTTGTTCATATTCTTTATACTACTGTAGCTCTACAACTTCATGTGTTCTTATACATATCTTCGTTTCCCATCATCTTGATGTCTTGCTCTCGTTAATGTCCCACTCATTCATAGGGTCTCATAAGCTCATTCCCCGCCACAGATTCGGCAAAGTTCTCCAACGCCGTAGTGTGGCACCAAGGCTTCAATCTAATCTCCTTCAGGATGGTGCTCGAGAAACATCCCGACCAGCCCATTCGAGGCAGTTGCGCCGTTACCTGTTCGATGACCTCCCGGCCTATGAGATGCGGTTGTAGTCCCATGTTGTCTGAGTAATGTCAATCAGTTGAATACACAAACAACGACAATGGGAGTGTGACTTACCGAACTCAGTAGCGATCTGTATCATCTGCACCATCGCACTGACCGTGCCTGTCTCACCGGGATCCTGGTGGCGGATGATGGCCTCGGCAACGCTCTCTGCTTGGATCTTGTGAGCTCCGAACTCCTGCAACTTTGTCAAAGCGAGAAGGCCGCCTTGGAACTCGAAGGACATGTGCGTGTTCGACATGTTCTCGTCGGTCGTGCCGATGTCGTGGAATAGGCAGGTCAGTGCCCAGGTTTCGAAGAAGGCACTTGAATGGTAGTCCGGGAAGTAATGTTGGATGATGTAGATACCTTTCATACATTGTTAGTAGAACTGAAGAGCTTATAGTTGTTTCCATTATTGTGGCGATGGGGAGCATTGGTGTCGAAGAATACGTACCGTAGCAGAATACCCTCATGCTGTGATTGTAGGTCTCCTTAGACAGATGTTCCTGTGCATACTTGCGCGCCTTGTCTGTCACGTCGGTTACAGGCCAGGCGTCCATGGGGTCTGAGTAGGAATCATTGTTCATCTCTTTAACATCCTCAGCAGACGGGACGTTGGAGCGATTCCTTGGGACGGCAATCCAGCCAAAGTTCTCAGGTGTCCATTTTCCATGAGACATGTTGGATGCTTCGAATAGAATAGTACTCTTGAGGGGAGTTACAAGTGAGAGGAGGGCGTTGGTGATTAAGTTTGAAGTTGTGATGGCGCGACTTTAAGTATGCTTGCTGTATACAGATGCGCCTTTCGTCCTAGATAGGTTAGACTTGACAAGAGCTCATCTAGGCGAAGTCTGCCAGGTAAGCGCGACACATCAGCGAATGACCTTCAGCTTTTCATGCTGACGTTGTTTGACAAATTTTCATCATTCTGGAATTTGTTTTGCCATTAGCAACTATTGCATCATGTACGTCATATTCATCTCCGACCACGGTGACGATCGATGATTAGGAGATTAAGTGCGCCTGGCTGTGTGAGCGGATGTTGTGCCATGTATAAGTAAAAACGTGGTAGGATTGAGGCGATAGCCAAGCCGATGGACGCGACGCAAGAATAGCAAGCCATCGTGGACAACAATGAAGATGAAATGAAGCATGAATATGATGGGTTGTTGGATCACTTTATCGATAAGGGATGACTAAGAAATGATGATGACCGAGGCCGCAGATCTAAAGTTTTGGTGACATCAACGTGGAACGCGTCTCACAGGCACGATCAAGCTTCAATTGTCGTTATGAAGCCACAATCCACAGCCAGAGCATTGCGCTCGATACGGCGAGGACTATCGCAAACCCCACCAAGTCGAACAATAACTAAACAATCGCCATTCCGAATACCACCACCAAGCTCGCGATGCATATCGACCACCGCCCCCAAACAGCATAACCCAACACCCAACTCCACCTCCACCGTCGACCCAACAGAAGTTTCGCACTTCAATGCCCTCGCATCATCATGGTGGGACCCCCACGGCCCCTCCCGCCTCCTCCACCTCATGAACCCGCTCCGCCACGACTTCATAACTTCATGCCGCTCTTCGACGTCCCCACCAAACCCGTCGGAGAAACTACGATATCTAGACATTGGCTGCGGCGGCGGCATCTTCGCCGAATCAGCCGCGCGCCTACCCACCACCACCTCCGTCACAGCAATCGATCCTACACCACAAGTCCTCTCCATCGCCGAAGCGCACAAGCGACGCGACCCCACACTCACCTCGCCGGGTAAACTTACATACTTGAATACTTCTATCGAAGACCTACCGCGTCCGAAATCAGACACAGAAGCCTTCGACATTGTCACGCTGTTCGAAGTAATCGAGCACGTAAACGCGCCAGGCCCGTTCCTCGAACACGTTCTCCCGCATGTCAAGCCTGGTGGCTGGTTGATAATGAGCACGATTGCGCGGACGTGGACGAGCTGGGTTGTTACGAATGTGGTCGCGGAGGATGTTTTGGGTATTGTGCCCAAGGGGACGCATGAGTGGAGTAAATACGTCAACGAAGAGGAGTTGAGGAGTTGGTTTGTAAAACAACCTGGTTGGGGAAATGTCAAGTGTATGGGTGTTGTGTATGTGCCGGGTTTGGGGTGGAAGGAGGTAGCGGGGAGTCAGGATTGGGGGAATTATTTCTTTGGTGTTAGGAGGGAGGGTTGAGGAGGGGATGAAGAGGGGTGTGGTGATATGATGTGATGTGTAAGTGTTATGGTCAGATGGGAGCATATGATACCCAAGTAATGTACAATATATACAACATCATAGCCGCCTGGCTTTTACGTACGCTATGCTTCCTCGAAGTCTTCATACACGGCGCTGTGGCAACGTTATGCGAAGCGCCCCGCTATATTTGTGTTTGTCGCAATGGTGCGCATGCGCTAGGTTTTTCCCCATAGCATCGTGGTGTGTTCCACCGCTTCTTCATATCATTTCCCTCTCAATATTGGTCCCGAGATATTGTAGTCGCCTTGAGCCCTTCTCAGCCGTCTTCATGACTTTGTTGCGGGTCTCTCCTCAAACGGTGTCGGTATATTCCTGCCTGAGGCTACCGCTTCACTCCCTGTCTCCACGAGATCATGTCCACCGGCCAGCTTCCACGCCCTCAGGTAGTCTTCGCCGGTGAACCGCTTTTCGTAGTTCTCCGCCTTGCCGACGTCAAGTCCTCGTACCTTTTCTAGACTGGAGTCTACGAAGGGTGTCAACTAAGCAGGTGTTAGTTTCCGACCTTTCGATTGGATCTTCCCAATCCGTGGCAATCCCAAAGAGCCTTTCTACGAACCTCGCTGTTTTTGGTGCCGTGAATTGGGTACACATATGTCCGTATCTTGCTCCAGTCGGGTGTGAAGTTTCCGTATCGGTTGATGGTGCCCATGGATCCCACGCGGTTTCCCTTGTAGTATTCCTTGCCGGCTTGTTTGGGTGAAAGCGGCAGGCGCCGCAGCATCTTCTGGAGCGAGGCTGTGGGCTGCATGGCGGCGATTTAGCTGGACCCTGCCGTTGGAACGAGCGATGCGACAACGTCGATGATGGTCGCGGTCAATCTTCGAGGCGTTTGCGGAGTTTGGAGCGGAGGTGGGCGTGGCCCGTGCACCAAAAAAGTGCAAACCCAGAAGTTCTGCATGTCGCTCCGCCGCCTTGCCTCTCAACCACAACGCCAATATGCCGCCACGAGTAGCACGCAGCTCGATTCAAAGCGGTGGCGCTTCAAGCAAAGGCAATGCGAAGTCGCGAAACCCCAAGAAAGCGCAGAAGCGCGCCCTCGACGCCTTCTCCATCGCCCAGTACGAGAATCCAGACGATGCGAAAGTGCGCAAGAACCGCTTAGGCGAATTCGACCCCGCCTTCAACCGCAAGCGCGCGCGCGATGACGACGAAGAGGACGACGAGGATGAGGACGAGGACGACGGGCCCAAAAGGCGCAAGAAGAAGTCTGGTGATGAGAGCTATGACGAAGGAAGCGACTCGGAGGGCAACACCTGGCAGATGGGCCACGTTGAAGACGACGACGATGACGAGAGTATCGACTCGGACGAGGCGTTCGGGGAGAGCGACGAAGAACGCTTCGAAGGCTACACGTTCAGAGGCAGTTCCAAGAACCACAAGGGAAAGGCAAAGAAGTCGAAACGAGAGCAAGACATGATGGACGAGGATGGCGACATCGATCTTGACGAGGGCGACAGTGCAGATGGAGAGGAGGAAGACGAGGACGATCTTGGCGAAGATGCTATCGATCTAGCTACTGCCTTGGATCAATACGAGGAGGATGAGGCTGAGGAGCGAAGGGAAAAAGATAAGAAGAAGAAGGCCTCCGCGTTCGACGACAGCGACTCGGAACCAAGCGAAGGCGAAGATCCCGCGGCAGATGGCGCATCTGACCTCTCGTCCGACGAAGAAGACGAGGATGACCGCCAGGCACAATTGCAGAACTTAATCTCTTCGTTGGCTTCGCGGGAAGACGACAAACTCAAGGGCAGGAGAGTGGATGTCCATGAGTCGGCTGCACCGGACGAGTTCGGTGTGTCCCGCAAAGTCGACCTTCTCAGCTTCAAGCCCAAGGTCGCCGACGCGGAGAAGAAGAAGGCTCTCAAGCTACTGCAAGACGACAAATCCTCAAAACGAAACGATATTGCTAGGAAATTAGACGCGCCCCTACCGAAGCGACAGCAAGACAAGCTCGACCGCGCCGCGGCCAACGCCAAAGCGAACGAGACTCTTGAGAGGTGGACCGACACCATCAAGCAAAACCGCCGCGCCGAACATTTGATGTTCCCTCTCCAGAACCCTACCGGAGGCGACATGGGCGAGAAGACACTTCTTCCCACAACGACCGCTGCACCT